CCCCGCGGCCGCGGCCGCCGGGGGCTGTCCCGGGGCGCTACGGCCTCCCGCCCGCTCCCTGCGGAGGCATTCGCAAACAAAATCCAATTCTATTTAAAAACGAATGGAGGAACTCGGAAAGAACGGAAGAGCCTCAGAAAGCTCCCGAGCCGCACGCTTCAGGCGTCCCGTAAGACCTGCGAGTTTTAACTGAAAATGTCCATCCATACGCCCTCGCTCTGCCAGAAAAATAGGATCCCAGGATAAACCGCAGGTCTGGAAAGGAAAGGTCTTTCCTCATGTGGAAAACCAATGTACTTAAAGGTCCGTGTGGTATTTTGTGATCCCACGGCCCCGGGGACGTTTTGCAACTTCACTGCGCAAAAAATACTTGCTTTGTGTTTTCAAGGCTTTGCTACCTGTGTTCCTTCCTCATTTTCCTCCTTCTGGCCGACAACTTAAGTTTTTGTTTTTCATTACTAGAGAAATGCCGAATAACACATGCTGACTTAACTTGATTCATTGCCAATATTTATTTCAAACTGATAGACTGCAGGTGAAAAGTCACTGCAATATTAACAGCTGTAATGGTATGAAGAAATTCATCACTGGGAAAACAGACTAGCAGAAGATTCAAACCATATATTAAATCACCAATCTAGTACTGCTCATCCTGACCCAGAAAGTATGTGTGTATATATTCTGAAATATTTGATCTTGCAAATTTTTTGCAGTAATTTTAAGTGAACTTTCACTGAGGCAGAAATTACCATTTTATTATTTGTTTGTACGCAGTTTGGTTTCTTGACACACAGAGCGGTACTATGTATTAAATCATGTACGAAATATTTTTAGCTTGCGTTTCTGGACTTCACCTAGTTTTCCCGTTCTTTTTTTCCCCATAAGTAAGCACAAAAAATGAAGACTGAGAAGTAGAGTCTGTCTTAAAGAGAACTAAATACAGTTTACACACTTAGAACTATAAACCAATTTCAAACTGATTTTCTTGACTTGCGTTTTCATTGGGAAGGAGGCAAATCTGCTTTGTGCCAAAGATTTTTGTGTTTTCCTCCACTACCACTTTACATGCACTATAATTATAGTCCCGTCTTGAGAAAAGGTCTTTTCTGCCAAGCCCACCCTTGATTACTAAACCCCCCCCAAGGGATCTTGCCTTGTAGGGCCAGAGAGACATTTGGTAGCACTTCAAAACTGGAAATTAAACCTAGATCCATCATAGGCAGTCCACATCGATACTCCTGTTCCATGGGACTGATGTGTTTTATTTGTGAACATATAATATTCTGAGTAGATAATTTATTGCTGAGGTTAGACTAAATGTCCCTAATGATCCTTTTCAGCCTTGAAATCTCTGAGCTTGTGACTTTCACCTCTCATTGGCCTTTAAGTTTTCCATGATTTTTGTTTATTTTTGCAGATACCAGTATGAAAACTGATTTTAGTTGGCCAAATCTAGACTCCTGGTTACATTGTTTATCTAGCTATTTTAGTATTTTCTTTTTTTAGATGATCACATGTGAAAAGAAAGGCACATAAATTCTGCAAAACTATAAAATGAATACTGTGACAGACTATGTGATGGACTATAAAAACAGCCTTTTAAAGTATTAGAAGTTAGTTTAAGAGTATGTGCATTTAAGGATAGCTGGTAAGAAAAGCTGAAGAAACAAAATTCTGTCTCATTCTCTGTCTTTCTTTTAAATTCTTTTTCTTTTTAATACTGTTACAGTTCCTGGGCAATCGTTGCAGTTGGATTGCTGGTTCTGGTTTTTATTGCTCTGTTGGCTCGTGTTCTTGTCAAAAGAAAACCACCAAAAGACCCGCTGTTTTATGGTATGCGTTGGTAACAATGAAGCTAAATTCAGAAAGTGCTAATTTATATAAATGATAATATGATAGTTATTTCAGATTGAACATTTAAGGCATGTCTTCAGAACCCAGTCTGGTGAGGTGCTAAGGAGCCAGGGAAGAAGGAAAGACTGGGGAAAAAGGAAGAGAAATAATGCTTCTTTCAAACCTTTTTATTCTCAAATAGGAGATCCATCTTGGGGACAAGCCAGACCTCCTATATGGAAAGAATAACACTCGAGTTGGGTTGTGAAAGTGTTCAAAATACTGTCATACCTGCTCTGTTAAGATCCTCCTTGTAGCAGGACTTAGGCATCACAGTAGACCTTTCACATATATCTCATCCTGTGTGGACTCATTTGGGATTTTGGGATCTTTTGGATCAGTGGCCTCCGTGGCTTAGTTCTTCCTATGATTGAATTCCTTAATTCTCCCATTTTTATGAGGCTTCTGTGTTAACTCACCTTTGTGATATATAAGACAGTTCAAACCACCCCAACTCCTGGCTTAGCCTGTCTGCAGGCTCGGGCAAGCATTTCTATATTGGTACTTTGCCATAAAAGAATGGAGATAATATCTTTTAAAAGGAAACCTTAGATCTAGATTACCTTATTGCAAAAATCTAGAAGAAAAAACACAGCTGTTTTTCTTAAATTTTACAAGATGGGTCCATAGGCAAAAGCAGCGCACAAACCACCTATATTTGCCCTCTGTCATTGCAACTTGTAGGCGTCTGTCCCCAGTGTTCTGCGTGAGGCGGGGAACTCTCCGTTCACACTGAAATCAAAGGAAATAAATAACATAAACCTACTGCAAATAAATATCTTCTCTCAAAGGAGTGACTCGCTAACTTGCCAGATAGGTCTCCTATGGACTGCTGTGGCTAACGCAGTTTGCCTTGCTCACCTCTAAAAATGGCATGTTACATTTCCCTCTTCACCTCCTTTTTGTGGTCCTTTCTCCTTTCCAAGAGATGACTACAGTCAACGTACTGCATACTTTGTGTGACCAAGATTTTTGAAAGGCTACGTAGTCCTTTCTGCAGACACTGATTCTCCATGTAGGCTGTGCCTACAGCTCTACAGAATTTCACATTTCTAAGAAAAGCTTCTGAAGAACTTTGTTGACCAACCACTAATTTAAAAAATATTAAGCTATGCAAGAAAGTCATGTTGTATACTAAATATCTCTGACCTCAAAGTAGGTGCATCTAGATGTGCCTGAATTTATTGGACTGTGAAGTGACTGTGTGGTTTCAAGTTTTTAATTTATTTTTTTTTCCCCTTTATCTTATTACAGTTTATGCTGTATTTGCCTTTACCAGTGTAGTGAATCTAATAATTGGACTGGAACAGGATGGAATTATTGATGGGTTCATGACTCATTACTTGAGAGAGGTAAACAATTGTTTGGCTTACAAATGTAAACAAAATCTTTACTACAAATAGGTTTTAATAGTATTTGTCACAGAAAAACCATCCGCTAACGCATTGAAAAGGGTCATCTTGAATTTGATCATTGACCTGTTTCATTATTGTTGTGGACAAAACCTGATATCACTGATTCATTTGGAAAAAATAGCATACCTTTCAAGCTCCGACATTATTTCATTTAGTTGAAGTAATGCTGTTCTGTATTAACTTCTGTGGGAATTGAATAGACTGTACATGTTTGCAGAAAGCCACAGATACTCAGCACTTGGGAGTGGATGAGTACTGCAGTACCTAAATGTGTTACCAAGAAGGAAACAAAATTGCTCCTTTATTTTTGCCTGATCACTTTACTGAAAGGAATTAAAGTAGAGTTAGAAAATGATGATGCCAGATACCTAGTCAGCAGAATCTGTTGGCTGCTGAATATCAACATCCCCCAAAAATAGCTCAGTAAGAGCTTGATATGAAAGTCACTGAAGTCATTGAAAAGATTCCATGAACGTGAAATGAGTTGGACCTTACAAGGTTATACCTTGTCATCAATATATTCAACACTGTTGTAGATCTCTAGGTTGCTAAATATATCTTTATTTGTTCCATGTTAAATGGACCTTTACTTTCTAGCTTTTGTCACTAAAATATGGAAAAGTAGTATTTCCATAACATAGCAGAACAACGCAGACAGTGATACACAGGAGTTTTTCCTTCCATCTTTCACCCTGTTTTGCAACTATATAGCTGTTTCAATTATACCTGATCCTACCTAAACCAAATCTGTGGTTGGAAATGTGTATTGTCAGTCAGAAACTGTACCCCTGGATTGAAAAAAATATCAGTTACTTTTCTGAACTGGTTTCCTGCTGTTCTTTATTAATTGATTATTTGTTATTCTTCCTCTAATCACTGTATCTTTTTAAAAATAAATGTTCCCTAGGGTGAACCATATCTGAACACTGCGTATGGCCATGTGATCTGCTATTGGGATGGCTCCGTTCATTATCTGATGTATCTGGTGATGGTGGCAGCTATTGCATGGGAGTAAGCAATTTTGATTTGTATACTGTTTACTTTGCTTGCATTCTCATATAACCTACAAAGGGCTTTCTTTTCTATGCAGTATTTAGATTTTTCATTCAGGACAATCTCATGTTTTAGGCCAAAGTAACGCAATTAAAATTTTGTTACTTGCAGGAATTGAAACATTCACCACCTTACCCTTTCTCTCAGCTGAATAAGACTGGCAAATCCACCGAGTTGTAGCCTCTCTTCATCACTTTGCAGCAGAGAGTATAGCCCCTCTGAACACTTTGTTAGTTAAAAGGAAAGCTTAAAGTGAATGCACATTAAAATCATGCATGTAAAACATTTTTTAAAATAACATATGATGTTCTCGCATCCATTTTAGAGATTATCATACAGTTTAGAGGAAAAATGGTTATTTCTAGTCATTCTTATGTTTATTGCTGTTGAATAAAGAGTTTGATGAAAATGACTACTTAAATTCCAGAGGCTAATGCACCCACTGGTAATAAAAGCACTACCAGAATGAAATAAATGATTAATTGTTTGCTAGTCTTTTCCAACCTGTGATGTGCAAAATCATGCAGTCAGCCTTCAGATGAGTAAAACAATGTCAGATAACTGAGTATGCACAAATCCTGTACTGTTCATGTGATAACCTTCTCACAGGTGAATGTAGGATTTCTCCACATCCCCCTCTCAGAGGCTAGAATCCACTGTTGACTTGTGGTGCAGATTTTAAAACCTTTACTTACTAAAATACAACCATGGCAATCCGTATAATATTTGAGGGTGATTTGGGGTAGGGGATTTTTAGGGATGGTGCGATAATTATGACTTGTTTTCTTTTTTAAACAGACAAAGCTATAGAACCATTGGCCTCTACTGGCTAGGTTCCATTATTATGAGCATCATTGTCTTTATGCCTGGAAACATTGTGGGTAAGGACATAATTTATATGACTTTTTCCTGTGAAACATTTTCTAAGTTCAGCATTAGGCTATCTGTATTTCACTGCAGTATTGGTTCCTTTCTGTAATAATATGAAAGAGGAATTTTAGGAATATCAGTAAAGAGATGCAAGATATTTCAAAATTTAAACATGAGAAGGGGAAGATGGAGATCAGGAAAAAAACCCTTTCCATTTACATTGTTCCTGAGGGAAAAAAAAACCCTAAAGTATTGTATTTTGTTATACCCATAAAGCTTTCATTCAAACTAGGTTTAATTTAAGCAATGAGTCAATAACTGTCTTAGTGTCATGAAAAATATAAATCTTATTTTGCATCAAATTTACAATTTACTTAGTAGTTTGACTTTCAAGCAGCTTACAGGAAGCATCCAAATCACCTTTAAAAGTGAAATCTGGAAGTTATTCTGTTTTCAAAGTAATGTAACATTCCTAGATTTCTAACATAAATCAGTGCATTGCTGCGCTGCTAGAGGTACAGAATTGTAACACAAAATTTTACATCATTATTACTGGCAGGTGATCCTTTGAGAGTGTCACCCCCCTCAACTAAAGAGTTCCTATTTAACAAAGCTTAAATTGATGCAAAGTTGACTAGTGTTCCACTGAGAAAAATGTTTGTGATCCTGTAGACAGCTTCAGAATAGCTCACTATAGCCCCATTTTTTATGACAGAGGAGGAATATTCATGGTGCAGCCTGGGGCCAGTCCAGTTCTATCCTTTGTAGATATACACGCACCACAGAAAAATCAGTCAGCAAATTTAACATGACCATCTCATTTCCTCTTTCCTCTAGAGAAGGCCAGGAAACTTGTTCTCAAGAGCATGCCTTCTGCCTTCCTTTCTGACACAGAGAATAGCCAATGTAAAAGACAGTTTTTCCTGATTTACCTGGGTTGAGGATAGCTCTCTGAATTTATGTTTTGCCCTCAAATATTAGTACAGGCCTGTAGACAAAATCAGGACTTTGGAAAACAAACACTATCTCAGATCTTAAAAAATGGATACATTCCTTTTTTCCCATTTTTTCCTTAAAAAGTTCCTTAAAAAATTGATATTTTTTTTCCCCCCATTTATTAGAGAATAATGTCTCTTTGAAGCAGGTTCCGTTAAGAGATTTCAAAGCTGTCCCATCCTATAGGATGACTTACTGCAGAGTGACAGAGGTGGTTTCCTGACCCCTGGAAAAAAAACCCCTAATTTCCAAAATGACTTCCTGTTGGATAGGTTCTTTGTCACCTGTGACTTCACCACTATTGAGAACATGATTTTCAAGATGTGTGTTGCCTATAATAGTGATTTCTAATGTTTTATGTTTACATTACCATAGCTGCTTTAGGTATGATATCACATAGGGTATTTTTTAACTGTTCTGCAACACAGGTTACAAATTCTCATACATCTTATAATTATTGTTTAACAGGCAAATATGGAACAAAAGTGTTTCCTGCTTTTTTCTTGAGTGTACCATATATTTGCCTTCCCATATGGGCTGGGTTCCGAATTTATAACCAACCTTCGGTGACTCACGACACTCCAGTCAAGGTAATATTATTGTATTTAAGTGTTGGCTACTGTTAGGAAAACTGAAATATATTTGCTGTTTCTGCTGAGTTTTATAGGTGCCTCGGTGAGCATGGAATGTACTGTAACTGTTCACTGTTATGACAATTGCTGCCAGGCTGTGTAGACACTGTAAAAATATCTATACTGCAGGACCATTTCATTATGGTGGGATAAAGAAAAAGCAAAAGAATCTTATGTTTAGAGTAAAGAACCCATATCTAGGTGTAATTGTGTTACTACCCTCTATCCGGTTTCTAACTGTTTCATTTTCTTCACTGATGAAAATACTGACATATACCAGCTTTATAAAGCACCACAAAATCCTCATAGAACCTCTGCAGGAAAGTATTCTTCTGCAGATGACTTACAGTTTTCATGTAATTTAACAATTTTTCATATGTGCATTCTGCAATATTAGATTTTATGGGTAAAACATACATTGATATGAAGATTATTTATACACTGCTTACTTATAAAAAAAAATATGTAAATATAATGGTTACTAAAACTCCTTAGACCTTTGCCTTTGAATTTAATAGTTGGGCTGTAATAAGATTAACTGAGCTATCAAAAAATGCAATAAGTTTAGGCATGTTTTATTAAAAAAAAAAAAAAAAAGTTAAAAAAAGATCCCTGCAGTACAAAGCACAGAACAGATCTTTAACTCTTTGTTGCTGTAAGTAAGCCAGTTTATTGCCACAGCACACCATATCATTTGTAAGTAATACAATCAATTAATATTTTTGCATCACAAGAGCTCCTGAGACTCAGGTTCATTCTGTAACTGGAAACACAGATGCAGATGAAGGAGTTGGTTCCTATTCTGTAGCTAACAGGCAGTCAGTATGCAAGGGGCACAGCCTGTGGCATAGAATAACAGCAGATTTTTCCGGGAATGGATGAAATATAACAATCAGCCATCCATCCATGATTCTTCAGTAGGAAAGAGGGGTATAGATAGATGTTTCTATCTCCTGATGTTTAAAGAACTGCTACAGAATCACCACTTTTAGGGCAAATCTCTATGAAAGGCAAACTGGGGGAGACTTGAGGTGCAAAACCCTCCTCTACCCTCTTGCATAGGCTTATAGGAAACCACATGTCCCATCCCAAAGCAATTTGAGCTGATTTATTTAAAGGTGTCACTAACTGTGGCCAGAAACACATTCTTTAGAGTCATCAGGGTAGAGAAATTAAATGTAGTTAAAGGTAACGATGGTGATTTTTGCCATATATATTAATGAGGACGTCCTTCACATGGAGGATGGATGAAGGTTTCAGTTTGTTCTCCTAGTACTGAGAACACCACAGAAACTGCTATTACAGAAAATATGTGATGGACTGCTTATTTGCTGAAATATAGCCATGTCTCCTATGCTTACCAGGAGCTAAACTGCTTACCTAGGTTTGATATTTTACTTTGGTATATATATTGCAGAGAAACTTAGGTTTTAAAATTCTATTTCAGAAAGAGAGTGCATAAAAGCTGGTGATCTGAAAATTTCACATTGCCCTTCTTAGCAAATCCTTTCTTGTAGACCTAAACTTCCTTGCTCAAAAAGTCATAGAAAAAGCCTTGATTCCTTTCACTGGGGCATCCTACCCTTTCTAGGTTGTTTCTTTTTTAAAAGTTAGTTTGTCTTCACACCTAATTTATACTCCATATCCAAGCATAAATACCTAGGTTCAATAACTGTATGCCTTAAAATGCCTTTAAATCTTAACATGACTACTCAAATTTTTCTTATTTTTTTACACAACTCTCTCAGTCTTAAATTAAATGTTTTCCAGATAATAATTGTGTGCAGTGCTACTAACCAGTTAGCTAATCACTGTAAGTCCTGAAAATATTTAGTTATCTTTCAATAGATCATTTGCAATTAACTGTAGAATTGAACTACTTTTTAGCTGTCAGTATTCAGAGTTGATATTAAAAGATTTAGGAAGAAAATATAATAATGCTTTTAAACATGATAGTGCGAGTATATAGAAAAATACATTAAAGCAACAGAAGCAAGGTATATTCTGGTGGTCACGGTGTTCTTTGCTATAATATTATTATAAACTAGTTAGCTAAAAAAAAAAATCACTGCGGGGACAGAAAAGAGGTAATCAAGTTTTGGATGTTTTCTAATAGAGGTGGGTGCATGGGAGAGGACTGGAGTTATGTCCTCATTTAGAATCAAACTAAGCTGTGCTGCAGTATTTACAAAGCCCAACAGATTTATCTACAAGTATAGCAGCCCAGAAAAAATTAATATAACTTAAAATTCATTAACAGAATTAATACACATAAATTCAGATTTGCACATGAATTCTGAAGGGACTGACTTCTATGGACAGTACATAAGATTATTTTGATTCCTTAAAACTGATCACGTCAGGACCCTCCCAGAAGTTAGGGGAGGGAGAGAAAATGCAAAGCCTGCCTACACACTTCCTTGCTATACAAAAGAAAGAGCAGGGTGGTGAGATCTGTGCAGAGTTCAGTGCTGTTTGCAATAAATAGGAAACCTGTGGCAGGTCATCTCTACTTGCCCGGTGTACTTAGCATGTAATTCGTTTTAGCATACTGAAGTGACTTTGCTGTGTAAAAGAAGGGTAAGACAAAATCACTGTGTAGCTGAGGTCTGTCAGCAATGCCCATGCTGTCTTTCAAATTCTTGCTTCTGCTTTTTTTTAAGCTTTGCATTTTCATTTTGTTTGCATAAATGTATGCACATTGAAAGAAAGGTGTGAGTTTTCTGCACCCTGGCAATTTCACAAACTCATACTGCACCAAAAGTTGTTTCCACTAATGCTGACTTTGTCTTCAAAACCTCTAAGTACACAGTTGTATTGTAGCTTTGTGATCACAGTAAATACATGCTTTCATTTATTATACTTTTTGAAAGGAGGAATGATAAGCTTCAACTTAGATAAAAGCGGAAACAAAATTTATCAACCCTCAAACTTTCCATTATCCTTAGGTAGTCTACATCTGAAAATGACTTGCAACTCAGCAGCCATGGGCAGCCTTTGTCTTTCATAGGAATAAATATTAGAATATAGACATTCTTTTGAGGTCATATTATAAACATTCCTATGCTAGTACTTTAAATACCGTGAAGTGACACCATACTGCCAAAACAGACCTGTAATTTGTGTTTGAAAAACAAAGGGGTCACTTTTTTTTTTCTGAAAAAGATCCTTTAAAAGAAAAAAGTTTTATGAAAGGGGTGGCCTATGTGTTTAAAATAGCCATATTTTTCTTAAACTACAATTCAAATCTTGTAGTTCTCACTCAGGAATTGTGCTTGCAAGATCATTTCTCCTGTTTCAATAACTTTGTTGTGAGTATCTTGATCCTGAGTGCTTTTAACTATGCCTCTACATCCTAATTATTGTTTTGTGCTTTGGAGACAACTCCACAAGTGTATAACAGGAAGGAAATTGGGTTTTTCTTTTGCTGTCTGCATGCCAATGCACAGTTAATAAAAAGGAAAAGGAAATGAGTAACATATAAATGGAGAAGTTTTCCCTCTGAACTACAGAAAGATACTCTGACGTGCTTATAATTTTATCTGTGACTACACAGCGCTGAAAGCGTACCTTGAATTATTTCCATGGGTCTTGAAAGTTTTAATGTAGGCAAAGGCATGACTTTAGTTCCTCCAAGCCATCTTCCACATTAGAGATCGATACATCCTTTGCTACTGTAGAGTGTGAACCCCTCACATCTGCCCATGTGATGCAGCAGGGGGGATTCCTGTTCCGAGGCTGAGGAAAGGAGGTACAGAACAGATCAGATCCAGATGCCGAGAAGTGCCTCAGTGCCCGTCGGAGGAATCACAATGTACAGTAACAGAAGAATGGAGGATTTGCCACGTGCTCCATACACACACAAACACATTTCAGTCTCTATTTCTGCATTAAATATTAAGATGTATCATTTGCTTACTGAACTCAGCAGAGAACTCAGCTGGCCACAGAAAAGCTTTTATTTTATGCCAGGGGTATTCCATTAATTTCAATAGTGTCACAGGCTGCTCAGATCCAGCATTCACTGTCAGTAATGAGATGGACCCTCATTTTGCTGTCCATCCAAAGAGTAGTTTTACAAAGTGTGTTAGATTCAACTTAAACAGTTTGAGACAAACCTCCATTTCCAAAGCTTTTCTACATAGGGATATTCAGGAAGATGAATTAATTCCAAATAACAAAAGATGTAACTTTGAAGAAGTTAGTTATCCTGCTTTAAAGCCTTATGTGATTGCAGAGTTCATTTGATTTAGGTTGCTTTGAAAGTAAACTGTTCTGTATTGAAATGGCTTTAGCTTGATCCATCCATTTCTGGAGTTTCAGATTAATTTTCCCCACTGAATCCTATAAAGTCTGAAGTTAACTTTTTTAGATGTGGAAATCTTTCTGTCTCTGAAATTGGTGGATAAATATGGTAACATAACTTGAGAGCTGTGTCTATCAATGTTTCACTGCTTCACCCTTCTTGTGGCGACTCATCTGGAGTTAAATACATGTCATGTGGAACTGGAATGTACTCACTAAACACATTCTGTGTTGCAGGTGGTTCAGGAAGTCCAGAAGAAAGGACTCTTAAGACGACCAATAGATTTAATGTTAGCTGCATACCTCATTCTAGCAACGGGGTTTTGCATATTTAGGGGCATGGTAAGTTGAAGATATTTTAATATTCTGGCCTCTAATTTTCAGTTAGACTTTTACATTTGAAATAATTGTGTCTGTGAGAAAGTGTGTACATTTTGGTCAAGGGAAATCCTGTGACTTTCAGGGTTGGAATAGGCCTTTGATACAAAAAGGACAATTTATGATAATTAGCAGTGCCTTGCTTCTCCCTTTTTCCCTTTTTAAAGTATGTTTTTCAAAAGGAGGTGCACAATCACCAGAGTAAATAGCATCCCAAGTGCAGATCAGCATGACCTAAAACTGTTTTCATTGGTCTGGTGTTACATTTATGGCCAAGAACATGGAGACAGACCAACTGAATTAAGTCAGTATTCATGTTTTTCTAAACAGAGATGCATAGTTAAAATTATATAGGAAACCAAGTTAATTTACACTGCATGAGATAGAGGAGAGCATTTCCATCTGGAAAAAAAATAATTATCTATATTACCTAAAAAACACATGTCATTTCTACTTACCAAGAGATTTTTTTTTTTTTTTTTTAATGTTTGCCTTTTAAGCATAGTTGATTGAATTAAAATTTCTGAGGGAATCAGTACAAAAAATGCTTGAAGTAAATAAATCCAGTAGTAGGTAAATCCAGTCCTTTGTCAGCTCTAAAACATTTTCTGCCTGAAGCAGAAGGGAAGTTATGTATCATTCAGTGAACAGAACTGAAATGTCTCAGACAACCGCCTGCTTGCTTGATTTGTAGATCTGATCATGTCTAGAATAATTCAAGTAAGAGGTGACAATAAGTACCCAAGCAACATTTTATTTACCTAGTGCAGATTGTCTTTTTGTAGTTCTGCTGCTCACATTACTCTGTCACCTTCTGCTGTTTCTCTGAAAACTTGCCTCTCAAAAATATTTTCTTTCTTCCAACTTCTCACATACTGCTTTATTTCTTGTAGATCATGCTACTTGAGAGCATCACTGATGCAGGTTAATCAGCTGGTTTACCTGTAATGTCACTGTGGGAAATGTTAATCTCATGCTCTAACATTTAACTTGGTTCTGCAATTTCTCAGAGGAATTTTTTTGTTGACTTTGAGAATGTGGTCATTTCCTTACATATTTCCTTTACCAAACAGAAACTGCTTACTGCCCTTACTTATACATAGAGAGATCAACTGAACATCTCTGTGTAAGATGCAGTAACCATGATTTTGTGAAAAAGCTAATATAACATAATCTGTTATAATCCACTCAGACCTGAGTGGACCTGCTCATGTTGAAAAAGAACAGGGAGGACTATCCACTGTTTGTGAATCTTTGCATTTCCCCCTCAAAGTCACACAACAAATACACATGAAATTTAGTTGTTCAGTCCTGTAACTTTGACATTAACAATGCCTTGCCATAAACCACTTGGTGACAGCTGTTGACACAGATTGCTAACTCATTTTAGAATAGTATTAGTTGTAGAAGTTTTAAGGGCTACTATGAAAAGAAACTTTTGCAACTGGCTCTCCCTTCATGCTTATCAGGAACTTTTTTCTTTCTGTAGGAGTGTAAAGTCCAATAATCTCTCCTCTGCTACTCTCTTTTAAACTTATTAAGTAACACCTGTCTCTCTGCATTGCTCTTCATTTCTACCTTGCCACAATGCAACTCTTTTCTTGGACTACACTCACAGCTTGCTATCCTAAAATTGAGGGCTTAACCTGAAGTTTCCACTGTTTGAGCAATTTTCTATTGAAAATTTCATTTGCTGGGATTAAAGTCTGTTTATCAGAGCAAATCAGTAGCAATGATACTTTTACTACAGCATAGCCAGCCAACTGACTGAATTCTTTTCCAGTCAAAATCTTTAAAGCAGGCTGTCAGCATTTCCTTGCAAACCCTCAGAGCAGGAGCTAAGAGGAGACTGCATTTTGGGTTTTTAACTGGTGATCAAATGGATCACCTTTGCAATAGAATCTGAGCAAGCCTTGTCCTGCTTGCAGTGCTGCAGACAGCTAGTGAATCTTTAGGGCTGGTAACAGGTGTCAGGTTAGCTTATTTTAGAACAAATTCTTTGTTCACGGGAAGTTTTAAAAATTCTTCTTAGATTGCTCTGGATTGCCCTGCTGAACTCTGCCGGCTATATATTCAACTTCACGAGCCTTATATAAAAGACCCTGCTGCCTATCCTAAGCTTCAGGTAAAGCATTGACTGTGGAGCATAGAGTGTTAAGTGATTTGTTAACTGGTGCAAAGATGAAGCCATGGGTTTCACAGATGACAAGATCAATAAGGAAAGTATTTGTTCATGGCAAGTTAAAGGTATTTCGTACTTTCTACTATAGTCATTAGAGGGTACCAAGTCTTCAGTGTGATAAGCTTAACTCAGATTCAAGTCAGTTACAAACTAATTACTCAGGCTTCTTGTAATATAGTCCATGAAACAGATCTACGTGCTTTTTATGATCATTCCCCTTCCTTAGAAGGGCAAAGTAGACTTCCAGTCCGGAATAATGGAGCAAAAAGGGGTGTAGTAGAACTAGGTTCCTTAAGCTCATGTTATGCTTCTGTCACCAGCGACACACTCCTTGAAACATGAGTTTTTACAAGCCCTATTTACACAAGCATTGCAGAGGACAGAATGTTGTACTTTAGTTTTGCAGCATTTGCAAGGTTGCCTTTCTTTTGCAACTCTGGCTGTTGCATGGGGGCAGGGCCTGAAGCAGTAAGAGGATTCACAAGTCAGATGATGAGCAGAAACCACATATCTCTGCTGTTCTTCCAGGGAAAGGGGTGCCTTGGGTTATCTCACACCTCCCAGCTGAAAGTGCAACGGAGCTTGAGAAATGGACACCCATGTTGTGTTGGACACTGAGTTAGGTCAAGCCATGCTTATTGGCAAGATGGCAAGGGGCAGGAAAACAAGTCCTGGGAGGAAGTGGATTTGGGTGGGGCAAAGAGATAAGAGCCATCACTATTAGTAGAGGCCTTGGGGTAGCTGGATCCAGTCAACAGCATCCAGGTGTGAAACTCTTTTCTCAAAGAAGTTATAGCTGCAAGAAGGCCTGGGAAGCAATGCAGCCAGGAGTGTAGTTTTGAATAGTCTCCTCAGTCAGCAGCTGGCTGATTTTTAAATGCATCTCCCTCAAACTACAAAGCAACTAATATTTCTGTTTAAAAATGCAGATGCTGGCATACATGTTCTACTCTGTGCCATACCATGTGATTGCTCTCTATGGCCTACTGGTGCCTGGTTGTTCCTGGATGCCCGATTTAACCCTTATACATGCTGGAGGACTAGCTCAGGTATTTCTTTGTAAAATGTTCACTCTTGAATTACACAGTAGTAAGTAGAGACTTATGGAATAAATAAGGGGCCCAGGGCTTGATCTTCCCATGCAGGTTTTATGCCATTGTATCTCAGATCACCTTTTATATCTATAAAATCTAATATAAGGGACTGGAGAATCAAACCCATTACATGCGTTTAATGACCGCATTCTTGATTTAGTAAATTTCTCTCCTTCTGCAGAATCTTTTTATTGGGCTCATTTAAACCATACTGAGCCCCATGCACTCTTTAGCTGAGACCATGTAGGAAGCCTGTCTTAAAGCTGTAACAGTTGACTGTGTAAAAAAACTCCATATGCAACAAAACAGTACAGTACATTGTTTCCATAATATGTGTTGGCCAACTAGGTAGTTTGAAAAATGTAAACAGAAAAAATACCTACTAGTCACACAAAATGGACAATACCAGTTGATGATGTTGATACAATACTGGGAACTTCCTTGGCCACAAACCACCATAACACTAAGACTTGCTTGTGTTGCCAAAGGCAGACCAATGATCATACTTTCTTATTTTTTTCTGATTCTTCAATAAACAACTGTAGTTAATCACTACATGGTGCTGATGGTTATGAGAAGACTGACCAAACCAGAAAAAAAAAAAAAAATCAACAGGAACTAGTAAATGACTTCTCATGACATATAGATGCCATTAAACAGTTGAGACAGTGACAAAATTGATTTGTACTGAAATGAAATACGCTCTGAGCATCCAGACAATGCAGAAAATATGCACATAATCCTGCAACACTAATGGGAACATAGGGACACAACGATAATTGTAATTCAAGTACCACTATTAGACAAACACAGACCAACACTTTGTTCCTCAGGCCTGAGATAACAATCATGGATACAAACTACAGTCCAGCTTAACTGCTCAGCAAAGATGGGGGGAGTGACATTTTATTTTCTGTTTGTGAGACATTATCACAGAGGATATGACTTTTTTCCCTAAACAGTTTATAGAGAAACTTGTATTACCCAATTATATCCAAACAGAATCCGGCAAACATATTAAACGAGAAGGTTTAGATGCTCAAAAGGTATCATAAGTATTATACAACTGTGTTTGGCCCAAACCTAATCTAGGAAAAGCACAAGCTGGCTAAAGTAGGCAAGGCAGTGCCAGGAACCTCTCACTACTGACAGATTACTCGGGTTTCATGAATTCCCCAGACAGATGGGAAAGAAACCACTCCTTCAAAGATTATTTAGCACAAGGAAAAGTAAACCAGAACTCAGAGTGTGACGAGTGTCACAATCTTGCAAACTTGCCAAAGAAGCTCAGCCTCCCAGATTGGAGGCAATTTTTGTTTGGTTGGTTTGGTTTTGGTTTGTTGTGGTGTGCTTTTTTTCCTTTCTTTCTTTTAAATGTTTCCCATAACAAACACTTTTCTTTTTTTCAAGGGCACTTTGTACCTTTTAGCTGTATGATGAATACATGCAACAGTTTGTTGCTGAAGTCTAAAACCCCTCTGTTGTCCCTTGTGGTCTGGCTTCAGGATAATGCTGATTTACACATTAGACAAAGAGAAGAAAAGCTGCTGATAACTCAAAAACTAACACTCAAAATTTCCCATTTAACTCTTTAAAGCTTGTCCTAGGCACAAGCAAAATCTGTGGGCTGACCTAACTGATTGAGAGAACTTAAAGAGTGTGCTGCTGCACACTCCCTACATTTTATCCTGACTCAAAAAACCATTTCTTTGAGTTTGGGAGGGGTTTTGTAGTTTTTATTTTAATGCACTGCAGAATGAACTTCAGTCATACCACAGCTGAACATAATTTAATTGACTTGGTGAACTGTGAGCAACCTGGGATGAAAAATGTGTGTGACAATGAATTGAGGACTTCTGTATTTTTTTGGGTCTGGTCATTTTGAGGCACAAACACTTCCAGGTTTGTCTACTATTTTCTCAAGTTAAAACTTTGTAATTGATAATTAAAACACACACAGTTACTGAAACACATTTCACTTTCTATGACGCACAAAGGTCCAATAATGGCAAATACCTAATGATGGAAATAGTGGGCATTTCTCCCTGGGAATGAACACTGCTCCTACAGATGGGGAATGTGGAGATTTTAATTATTTTTTATTTCTAGCATTATGAAGTATGTACTTTTTACAAAAGCAAGTCTCAAAATACCATGTGATTCACCTAAACTAAGAACTCTGAAAGTGCCTAGCCTTTCACACACACAAAAATATTTACAGTTTTTCAGAATTACATATAGCTCTCAGCTTGAATTATTCCATTATTAACTTTCAGACTCCAAAACCAGATTGTGACCCTTATTAGACTTTCTGAAGCTTCAGGAAGAGCTCTTTAAATGTCATATGACTAAAGTACCAGGAGCTTTGATTATGCAAAAGGGTTGGAATAGCCTCTGAACTTGATTAAGTGGCTTTTTCCCTGTGCAAGTGAGCCACATGAAAAGGGATGAAGAGCCATAGCCCAGCTATCCAAAACGATTCTGTCTCACCGACTACTCATAGCCCTCTTCCCTATTCTCTCACATATAGAAAGCTTTTCTACTCCCCCCTTGAAGTGTTTTCCTTAATCCTGCAATTTTGGTGGTTAGTTTCTGCTGTGCCTCTTGTCTACAAGAGAACATAAACCCAAGGAACATATTTTTCTAGGTTACTCTCTCCCCAGCTCTGTTTGATGGCTTTCCTTAGGCTCATAAGACATGGTCCAAACCTCTCCAAACTAAGTTATTCTTTGCCTGATTTAAGCCAGTTTTAGAAAGAAGGCACAGAGTGAAGGAGGACTCTTAACGTTTTTCCAGGCCCTTCTCTATTTTTTTGACTGCAGGGTAAGAAATATTCAAAGTATTTGCTATGATTAGGCTACAGGCAAAAACTATTGTAAAAAGAATTCCAAACCCAAACCATTTCATACAGACAAGAAACTTACTGAGAAGCGGGCATAGGCAAATTGCAGCTGTCAGGCTGGGCAGTGCCATGTCCAGCACCAGGCACCTTCCAATTGCTGTGGAACAGCCTGATCATCAGACTGACCGAGGCTTCCAGGTTAACAAAGGCTGTATGTTAAATGGATAAGGCTACCTTAGAAATTTACCTGCAGCATCTCATTTGGTTGATTTCTCAGCCAAAGTTCAGCCGCTTGATCCTCAAAATTCTCCACTTAGAAAGGGTTCAGTAACAGAAAGCACCAAGGAATGGCTTATTCAGTGAGAAGACCTGATCATGGCAAGACTCAAGGTTGATCTCACTTATCACAATGCCAGCCTGTTGCAGAACAGGCACAGATATCTGCAGTAACTAACAGCTTTTGTCTTACTGCTTAAAATTATGGATTTGGTCTAAGTCTGCCTAGTACTTGAAAGAAGAGCTACTGGGGAGCAAGAGATCTGCTTTTAAGACACACCCCCTGCCTCAAGGGAGAAAAAAAAAACAGAAAAAAAAAAGCAGAAGCACAGTACAGTCATGGAAAGGAAACACATGAGATTAAAGACATAACACAATTTCCACAGGGGCAAATCAAATTTTAAAAAACCTGACTTTAACAGACCTAAATATCCTCCCTGATAATGAAAGGAAAAAGCAATGTGTTATATTGAAAAACAAGTCTAATAAACAATAACTTCATTATGTGGTGCATCATTAAGCTAGTAAAAATCTTCATGGGCTACGAATAGAGCAAAATGTTTCTGCTTTTTCTAATGCCTAAAGCTGACTAATGTGCCACAACTCTTGTGAGAGACAAGACCAGACAATAAGGCTTAGATTGTCTAAGGCATCCAGGAGGCTGTGGGAGCTCTGAGTCTCTCAGAAGCAGCTGCTTACAGCTCTTTCTGACAAGGCTTACTATGAACTTATGAATTTACTATCAACTTACTATGATGCACAGCTGGCCACTCTTGGAGACAGACAAGCCTTGCGATTCTCCACAGAGAAGTATGTGCCTTAGCATCTTGTTCACCCCAGAAGAGACTCTAAAATACTACCAGGAGGCTGTTAGTGTCTAGGTAAACATCAGACAGACCCAAACCTCCTACCTGAAGCCCAGTGGTGGCTGGCTGGCTCCTTGGGAAACTGCTACCCCACATTAGTAAGAGGGCTTTGCTGCTGAGCACTAATGCTCAGGCTGCCTGGGCCCAGATGGCTCCCGAGACGAGGAAGGTAGCAGGATCTGAGCAAGACCACCCAGGTGCTAAAGGCAGTTCCTGCCTGAAACAGGTGAGAACAGACGGGCTGCAAGAGGCAGACTGAATTCTGAAGCTGATATAAAGGCTGCTGATAGCGTGCTCCTGAACATCTGCTTACTGTGGAATAGCTATTTACAGAAACATGCTAAGTGGCACTCTGCTGAAGTGTGTTTGTGGTTGATTTCTTTGATTACTCCGTTTCTTGACTCAGGTTTGCTAGATCAGCTCTTCCCATTGAGTGGAGGTGACTAGAATCACCTGAAAACTGATTTCCTTTTCTCTTTTGCTATGTGGTCTCAGCCTAACCTTTTGCTAGAGCAGTGTGTATTAAAACACCTGCACTGTATTTCACTTTCCACTTTGCTAACTGTGTTCTTTGTGGGACCAAAGTAACTCCTGCTGAACCCAGGACAGAGGATGTGATTTGGTCACAGCATACTCCTGTGTTACTAAAATCCTGCTGTCCCTTTCTCCTGCTCTGCTTAAGATCAAATAGATATTTATCTTCCCAGATCTCCTCCACTGCTAACTAACTAACTAAAAAAAAAAAAAAAAAAAAAAAAATTGGACACACAATAGTTAATGTGAATGAGCTGTGGCTTGAAATAGCAGGTAACAGATGGAGACAAAAGACAGCGACTACCCTGACACTTCTATCTTTAAATGTTTGTTTATGCTAAAAATATGCTTCAGCCCAGCAAGCTTGTCTTTGCATATAACCTTCACTGATAAACTTAACCTATACTTGAGAACAGCCCCCAGCCCAAAAGCCAAATATTGCAGATGTTTTCTGAAATCACGAGGGATCAGAATCTTGAAGACTGGGTTTAATATTTAAAAAAAAAAACCCAAAACAAAAAACCCCAAACAGAACTAACAAAGCTTCCAAGATTTTACCTTCTAACTTTATTCAGGCTGAGTGAGTGTCTGTCTGCTTCCCGTTGATGCCAAACACAAGATTCCCTGGTAGGTGGGTGCGAGTCCTACCCCCACTCCTGGGCTGGGGCTCAGGAGTGCAGATCTCTGCGGTGATGCACCCTTTGGCAGCCACTGGCCAGGGGGAAGGATCATGGATGCTGCTGCATGAATAATCACCTCTAAGCCAAGGGTGAAATCCTATAGCTGATGTAAAGATCAGTGCCATCGTGTGCATAAAATACATCTCCTACCATGCCGCTGACGGTTCCTTTTATGCTTCTTATACCAAGATACTAATGAACTTAGTTTAGGCTGTATTTTTATACCACTGTGCAAAAGTATGATAGATAATTCTGGAATATAAGGGCTGGCTTGGAAAATGTCACTGGAGATGCGTAGTTGCATGCAGATTATGCTGTTTTACCAAAATATACATCAACTTTACCTTTTTTAATATATACGTTATATACACACCACAGGCTCAATTTTCCCATATTGGTGCTTCTCTTCATGCTCGAACTCCTTACATCTACAGAGTCCCTGAAGAAGCAAAACAGTTTTTCCTGATATTGAACATAATGTATGGGATTCTTCCCCAGCTGTTGGCTTACAGGTGTGTCAACAAGCCAGAGTTTTTTATGAAAACAAAACAAGAAGAAAAAACAGAATAGCACAACTGTTTTCAGCTTCTCCTTTTGGTTATGTATATAATTGGGTTGGGGTGTCATTGAACTGCTCAGATAGAACCCAAAAGAAGCGTGTAAGATGTGTAAAATTGCACAGTTGTGTAAAGTTGCACGGTCTGTTTTGTTTATCCTACTCAAAAAGGGAAAATAAAGATGACTGCCTTCAGTACCACTTCTCAACATTTTGACTTTGCGCTGCAGTGGAGTTGCCAGTTCACATAGCTATTTTTAAGTAAGCTGCTTTGACAGTTTTAGAAATACTGCATGAAGTTAAATAATAATAATGATGTCAGTGTTTAGCCTCCACACACTGACGAGTATCAGTGCTAGCAATCCCTATACAGAGCTACTGTAGAATGTGAAGGTCAGTATTTTGAAGTGTGAAAAATTAACATACATAACTCTGTCACATGCACATGTTTTATTTGTCAAAAAGTATGTCCTGTGGGTCAGCCTTGTTAAAAATCCCAAGAAATCTTTTAAGAAGCAATCAACTCTTATGGTAAGACTCCATATATGATAAGCAAATCATGTAGTTTTGTTAATTCTTTTAAGGATTCACTTCTGCAGGGACTGCTCATCAGCTTGAAGATAGGCACGTGCCTACCAGCACTTCTGAGGTGGGCACGGAGGGCTCATCACCTTGGGAGGCAGGCCTTACACCGTAGCGTCCGTTTTCAGAGAGGAGAGGTTTGTGGCCCTGGTTTTGCTAATGCTGTTAGGTCAGAAACAAGGAGCAGCAAATACAGCCACCTTGGTTTGCGCGGCTGATGTTTCTGTCTGCAGTGACAACTATTTCTATGCCTTTTAGGTGTATTTATACTAAAAGCAGTACACTCGGTGCATTTCTCACAGATGAAATACATTTTAACTGGAAACACTTTAATTTGGGATGGTGACTTTTGGGTGTTTTGACTTAAGAGAATTTTAGTTTTCTTTTTAAACCTAATTGGGAACAAGAAAGCAACAGCTCCTGCTGATGCCTAAGGGGACTTTCAGAGCAGCAAGAACTTCAGGCTCTAACGCTCTCCCCCGAGCACTGAGGTGCAGTTCTGAAGAGAGAGCCCTCGGTTTTATACCTCCAGCCAAAGGGGCAGGTCCAAACTAACCACAACGCATCTCAGTCGATGCTCCTTGGCAAAAAAGGAACTTGGCAGTAATTCCCTGCAGCTCCCAGCCTCCCTGGTGTGGGCTCCTTCCACGCAGGCTAGAACTGGGGACAGCTCCATCCCAGCACCTCCTCCCGAGAACACCAGCCCCGAGCTGCGGGGCTGCGGCAGGACATGCTGGCTCACAAACAGGTATTTGAGCCTCCGATGTTACTTCTAATGTTTTTTTAAAGAAACTTTGAATACATTCAAGGTGAATTTAATAACCTCCTGTTATCCAGAAAAGGCAAAGTACAGAAAAAATAAAGATCTCACCTGCACTTGTATCTATTATGGTCAACTCATGTTAACAGAATGTTTTGCTTTAATACTTGACTTACTTACATTAATACCTCACATTATTACACGTATGAAGCCAAATATGACGCTAACTTAGTTGCTTACAACCTCAAACCTTACTCCCAATACACATTCCAATAAATTTATTCTGTAAAAACAATACATTTTTTTGTTTTCTTTTTGTTTTGTTTTTTGTTTTTTTGTTGTGGTTTTTCTTAGTTTTTTACAGTAAACTCATCAACTACAAACCTTGAATACGCAAAAGATGTTCCAAGGACAAGCATAACAAGGATTGATAAAACCAGACTAAATATGTTTTCACAATAAGAGCTGGCATAAAAATAAATAAAAATCTCTATTATCACAATAGCAACAATAATGTACACAGAATAATGGATTTGGAATGCTTACTTACTAGTCTAGTTCTATTTCCAAAAGGAAAAAAAAAAGCCAGAATGACAGCATCCTTTTTTAAGCCTTTCATTATTTAAAATTGATGTTTTCTTTTGGTTTCCCATAGGGTTCTATATCACAGTAAGCTTAAAAATGGAAAGCATTCAAATGAATGATTTCAAATTGTGTTGGCATTGGAAAAAATCCTTGTATTAATCTAAAGAAACACAAAAAGACTTTCACTAACTCCACATATAGGAACTAAGTCAGATAGTGTACATTACATCATGATTTTGAGAAGTATTAAGAGTATAACTAGCTAGGTAATTCTAATAAGGAAAGGTATTTTATTACATTATTGAACTTGGCGGTGATCTCAACTGAAGATTTTTTCTTTTATGTTGTAAACTGATCAAAAATCAAGAAAGTATGGATATAGGGTAATTTAAAATTATGTTTGTATGTGGAAGATATTGTAGTATTGTATGGAGGGGACTCATTTCTAAGATTTACTTGTTTTTAAAAAAACCCACTGATTTAGAATGCTATAATTTGGAGTTACACCTTTTCTATCTAGAAAAGGAATCTAAAACGTGTTCAAGTATGCGATATCTTCATAAACCTCAGCCACTGGTAAAGGGCAACTTCATGCAACCAAATAATATGAAAATCAAAAAGTAACCCTTAGAAAAAAGGGTAAAAATGTCATTTCTGCAAACACAACAGATAGGAATGTGAATAATGTGCATACAAACTGGGATGCTCTTGATGATACTAATGAACAGATGTGGTGACTCATATCAAATCCAAGAATATTAGACAACCAAACATGTAACCTTCTTGTGTTTTCCCTTAATATTCAGCAGTCATTATGTTGGTTAAGTCTGAAAGAGAAAGAGAGAAAAAGAAATCGCATTTAACGTAAGAATAAGCAAGCTGCAACAAACTTGATATAATTAATGCCTTATTCCCACACTTTGAAGTCACAGGTACAAGTAACCACCCGGTCTGTTTGAACAGGAATTTTTTTCTAGAGAAAACTGCTTACGTTACATCAACTAAACATACCACTACAAAATATTAAAGGATGCAGTTTAAACGTAAACATTTAGGGCTTTATTCAAATAAGCAGCTCCAGTCCTGTATGTGGGTTTTTTTCTGTTTTCCCCAATCACTTAATTGTGAATCTTACAGTATACTTCACACACAACCAGATTTTGCATTTTTCCACTGCACTAAATCACTGCTACACTTCATGGAAGAGCTCCGGCAGTGCTGTATTCCTGACCGCCTCGCGATGGGAGCACCCCGCCGTTCAAACAAATGAACACTTAGCAAGCATGAAGAAACATAAACAGTTTTCCTAGCTAATGTATCTGAATGTTGCTTCTGAAAAAGAAATAGTTTGGCTTGGAGTTCACTGTAAGGTGATGACAGAAAAGGAAGGAACACCCACTTCATGACTGAGTCAAGGGCAGCTCTTGCTTCCCCTGACATTAGTGGGAACAAGATCAGACCATCCTCATGGATCATGGCAATTCTTTACATGAAACAGCGACAGCCAAACTCACCTACAGGCACGGGGACACACCACTTTTGTCCAGCAACGTGAGGACATGCAACGCTGAGTGACTACCTAACCCTGAACATGACATCCCTCCTCCTTTGTAAAGAATTCCGAGTGTGAATGCTTGTGCACCCACACCCTGACAGACGGAAAGAAAGACACAAGCAGTACGAAGGAATTAGTCCTGTATTTGGTGTGATCATCCAAGGAAAAAAATCAACATCAGGAAGTAAGTGGAGGGGTTAAATCCACTGGGGTTGGTGGAATTTTCATTTTACACAGGATTGGAGGAGAGTATGAAAAAAAGATATTTTGACATCCCTGCACTAGCAGTTTGCTCCTAAACTCTTTCCTGCTTTGGCCCATCATCCCTGCTGCGTGTAGTGCCAGGGCTATAGTGGACTGTGCTTCTCTATCCAAGAGATAAGAGCATACGAGTGTCCACGGAGCAGGCTGGGATCCCAGTCTGGTTGCTGCACCTCCAAACCAAGGGCTGTGTTTGGTCAGTGTGGTTCTTCTCTCCTGCGACAAGGGGTTTGCAAACAGTAAGTAATGGGAACCCGCGCTTTTCTGTGTGGGAGGCTCTGGTACATCCTGACTAACGACACATGATAAGGGATTATTGTAAGATGCTCACGCCTGTCATGATGGCTTACAGGAACTGCCTGAGCCCTGCCTCCCCCCAAAAGGTGTAACTACGGCACCGCACTTCCTCCACCTCTCACCTCTTCAAGAGTCATTGAGGTTATATTTACAGATGCTTTGGAGATGTGCCTTGGAGGGGTTCACGGCTGTTTCTTTCCCGTCTGAGACCATGCCTTCTGCTGAAGTTCTCAAGGACAGCTGCTACCCAGCACTGGTAGGCAGGATGGGTGGTGAAACAGTCGGTCCCTACGGAATCACCCTCAGATCCAGTAAGGAAAGCTGTCCTTTTGGAATATGAAACCTCTGCACTTATTAACAACAATTCCCCCCTGGGCTAAGGCCAGAAGACTGGGCAGGCACCATTTTTAGGTAGGGCCTTGGGAATATTAATAGTTCCACTCCCACTGTCTCACAGATAACGTCCTTTGGGCCACAGTGTGGCACAGGAGGGACAACAAAGAGCCAGGTATGCAAATCACCTCCCAGCATTTTCAGTTTCCAGTGCCATTTGCCAGCCTGACACACGCTGTGTCTCCTCGGGGTGCCCCCGGGTGCCCCAGCAGTCAGCAGTTCTCCTTTCCCCAGGTGCAGCAGCCCCGGGGCTGCACAGGGCCCTCGGCTCCTTGCCCTGCCCAGGCAGCACATGCTGCCAGGCTCCCGCCGCCGAGCGGGGATGCGGCAGAGCTGAGCAGTTTCCACGGTCTCCATGGTTTCACGTCTCTCCAGAAACAGATCAACTCTCATCATCTTTGTTTGAACAAGTCTCTCAGCTTTACTGTGAGATACGGTACAACATGTGCCGCGCTGAGAAGCACACAAAAGAAGCAGCACAGAATCTGACCGCTTCAAGTGAAAAATTTCAGTCATCAATAAAAATTGAAGGACAGAACACAGAAAGCAGGGAATAAAACTAAACCCACAAATTGCCTTGTTTTTTCTGGCACTGCAGATTCCTTCCTCAACAGTGTCTGGCAACTGACTCAGCCATCCTGTACTTTAAAAGCTCTTGCTGGATGGGCAGAAGGATAATTATTTACTTGCTCTGTATGATCATTGTTATACCATGTTGGTTTGAGGTCAAAATAGTTACAGCATTCAATGTACACAGAGATGCAACTAGTAGATTTCGTCTATACTGGCTGCTTTAGCCTCAAACTTACACTCAGGCATTTCTGCTTCTCCTGAGTTGTGTCCTGCTGCCTTACTTAGCAGTGCTGTTATGCTGAGCTCTAGGAAGGCAGCAGACAACACAACTCTTTACACCAGAGAGTATGCCACTATTTGATTTTTTCATAGAAATTTTTACTGCACAATAGCTAAACACATTTGTACAAATGTTATCTTTCCGGAGAGGTGGATTTTAACTTATCTCAAATTGCAGAAAAAAAAATAATCAAACAAGAATACATACTCTATTTTCATTTTCTGGAAAAAATGCCCACATAAATGCTTTTACATTGAATAGAGCCCTAAATGCTGTGCTTTTAATGTTGATAAAACCCCAAACCTGTTACGCAACCTAACCAGTGTTATTCTTGAGAAATAAAAAAGGAAGAGTGAAGCAACCAAACGTCTCAAAAACCACATCAGAAGGACACAGTGAACCTGTGTTTCTCTGGCCAGTTTGACCACACCACTTGTCTTTCACAGCAGTAAGTGAATTGTTGCTACCCCACAAGAACATCACAACAAAAAATATGTCCTGGACACAGGCTGTTTTAAATATGTTCTCCCAATTGCAATAGTATCAGATGGCAGTAATTTTGGACCAGATTTTGATCCCCTTATTCATGCTGGCAAGCAGTTGCCTCCACAAATAGATCCACTGACTCCCATGTTAGTAACTGATTGTCAGTGTGAGTAAAAAGATCACAGTCCTTTACCCCACTTTAATATTCAGGCTGTACCAGGAGCAAAAAAAAATGTATTTCACTTCCAACAAGTCTATTATTTTTCAAAGACTCAGTAAAATCATTCACCTCCTGAAAGGCAAGCACATACATCTGTACACAAAGAGAATGCCTCATTTGCCAACACAATTCTGGACTGGAACTAAAATAATGAATACTGAAAGAAAAACTTGCCACAACCCTGAGTGCTGACCTTAACATTCAAATACTCTCTCATCGGGCAGGGACTACAGCCAGCTTTCAAGTGTCACTGTGTGGGTGTCCAGAGAGTGAAAGTAAAAAGCAACTTAGGTGTTCAGTTATAAAGATTTAAAGTTATGCCAGCCAAGAACACACAAGTCACTGGATATTTAAATGTGGAATGTAAAACTGCTGCCATGAATTCACTAATTTAGGAGCTAATTTTGTACCACAGAAAGTAAACAACACAGAGCCATGAATACCTTTCCACTGGAATATTCTGTTTATGTGGTATTTTGGGAAAGTCAAAACAATTTAGTATTTAAGAGCAGAGGACTGTCATGAGGGGGTTCTGTGACTCTTGACTTGAGAAAACTCTGGGATGGGCTGTCTTAGCTAATATATCATTATTTAATTTGGACAATAAACCCCTGAGGTTCAGGCTTCGCATCTTTCTCAGGAAGGAATCGGCAGAGAACACCAGTGAGGGCAAGAGCCTGAGAAACAGGTGGTGGCAGGACGCAGCTATGAACTGTGGCTGAGTCTGAGGAAGCTAATGCCTCTTCTGTTGAGAGTGCCTCAAGAACAGCTGAGAAACTAGGGGATGGAGATAAGAAAGCAGCTTTGTCAACCCCAGGGATAAAGAAAAAAAATCACAAGTTGAGCCCTTGAACAGTATGAAATTGGCTGAAAAAATATCATAGCTTTGGAAGTACTTTTATTTGCTCTGGGTTT